TCGGGCGCGCATGTACAGTGCGATTGAAACTTCGTGGCCCATGAGCAGAAGTCGGTTTTAGGCCTGGGCAAGTCTATTTTGAAGAAGTGTTGTTAGAAGAAGTGGGGGGTGTCAGTCAGTCAGGCGAGTGGAGACGCCGCGCAGGCGGGCCTTGGGATACGCAGCGCGGGGGAGGTACATTGTTTTGAGGTACGCTCGCTGAGGTCGACCCCTTCCAACTCTCCCATCCACACTCGTCTATCTGAAACAAGTATACAAGACGAGTGTGGATGGGAGAGTTGGAAGGGGTCGACCTCAGCAAGAGTACCTCAAAACAATGTACCTCCCCCGCGCTGTGTATCCCGCGGCCCACCTGCGCTGCATCGCTGGACTAACACCCCCCACTTCTTCTAATGCCACTTCTTCAAAATAGACTCGCCCAGGCCGAAAACCGACTTCTGCGCATGGGCCACGAAGTTTCGATCGCAGTGTACGTGCGTGCCCGCACGTGTTATTTTGTGGAAGAGCCACACTTAAAGGGCCAAAGAGCCGCATGTGGCTCGCGAGCCGCGGTTTGCTGACCACTGGGCTATGGCACTAAGTCACCTTTTGGAAGCCAGTTCGTGAAGATTCATTTAAGTTAGACTTATGCAAAATCTAACACATTCCAAAAGTAGAGAGCCACTGTTTTATAGACTTGAAAAAAAGGGAAGTAATATGAAACCTTGAATGTCAGAAACCTCATCAAGGTGTGTAAAATCAGTATCTATAGGCCAGAGACAATATTCATTCATTTGCTCGTTTTTAAAATATGTACAGAGCATCCATTGCATGCCTGGCACTGTTGTACACACTAATAAAATAGCCTGATGGAATATGCAGTACTGCAGCCCTAGCCGGTTTGGCTCAGTGAATAGAGCTTCTGCCTATGGACTGAAGGGTCCCGGGTTCGATTCCAGTCAAGGTCACATGCCCAAGTTGGGAGCTCGATTCCCAGTAGGGGGCGTGCAGGAGGCAGCTGATCAATGCGTCTCTCATCATTGATGTTGAGATATCTGTCTTTCCCTCCCCCTTCCTCTCTGAAATCAATAAAAATACATATATTTTTTAAAAGAATATGTAGTGCTGCAGTTAGTGCTTTTTATTGTAAAATAGTGGACTGCAAGTAATCCTCCTGCTCCTTCTCTTCTAATTAGATAAGCAACCTGCAATGAAGTTCTCTTGCAGCCACATCTTAGGCAAATTACCAGAGCTCCTTCTTGGTCTCCTGCAGACGTCTTGCCTTGAGTATAACACAGCTCAGCTTCAACATTTAAATCAGAAGACAAAACTTTTGATCTTGCACATCTAATTTTGCTAGACAGCAGCAAATTATGCTTTTAGTTCCTAGTATCGCTTAGATATTTATAGGTGAAATGGTAGCCTTTATGTTTTGTGTTTGTTTGTTTGTTTGTTTGTGTTTGTTTGTTTGTTTGTTGCTCCTTAAATTAATTCAGTCTTAGAAATGAGACTGTGTTCTTCTCCATCCACTGGCTGGATCAGTAGCACAAGCCTCATTGTTGTTTTGTTTTCCTATAGAAATCTCATGCGGTCCACCAAGTCATGTACCAAATGCAATTGCTCGAGGCGTACATTATCAGTATGGGGACATGATCACCTACTCGTGTTACAGTGGATACATGTTGGAAGGTTCCCTAAGGAGTGTTTGCCTAGAGAGTGGAAACTGGACATCACCTCCTATTTGCAGGGGTAAGGAAACATTTGGGTGGTTATTTCTTAGGGAAACCATAGGGAAATATATATGGAAGTCTGATGTGGGCCACAACCAGGCTAGGGCACTACACTAAGTGACCTTTGGAAGCCAGTTCGTGAAGATGCATTTAAGTTAGAGTTATGCCAAATCTAACGCATTCCAAAAGTAGAGAGCATGCTGCTTTATTTTTCTTTGTCTTTAAATTTTAACATTTGTGTCATTTTGTTTTTTTACTTTATTGGTTTGAGTTTTGAAAGCTTGTACACAGAACTCTAGCCCAGCACAGTGTCCCTTCCTGAGTTAATCATGGATCCTCAGGCACGTCTTCTCTCCAAATCTCGGGAGAATTCTCAGCTGCTAAGGGAAGCAGTGTCATGTCTGGGTCCTGGGTGCACCTCTTGGCCCCTCAAGTATTTCAGCACAGATTCTGGTTCTACCCACCTATCCTGGCAGGCCCCAAATCCCATAGGAGATGGGACAGCCCACCTAATGGGCAGAGTATAAAACAAGAGGTACCAGGCAGCCTCAGGGAAACAGAGCTCTCACCCAATCTGGCCATACTCGGGTGGGTGACCAGCACTCCGTGTTTACATGGGCACTTCTGTCTCTTTACTTGTTGTATGGAATTTTCAAACCCAAGGACGAATTTTGTGTGTGCTTTCAATAAAATCTTGGGGGAATAAAAGATTCTATGCTTGTAATTCTGCAAAATAAAAAGAGGTAGATAACAAGGCATTCAAGCATGTCCTTCTAAAACGTATACTTTTCTAATAATTTTATTTACAAATCGTAATTGTTCCATTCATTCTAGAAACATTTACTGAAAGTCAGGAACTATGCTAGTGAACAAGATACACATATCCAAGGAACTAAAAAAATAATCAAGTTGTTGGAGAGGTTTTCCACATGGCCCCATGGACAATGATCAGATTTGGATTTGGTGTGAAAGCCAAAGTCTTTCATAACTTGTGGGGGCAGGGAGAATTGAAGTAGTCCATGATGAATGGCATGAGCCTCAAAAATGTCTAGGGTTATTACAGGAGAAAGAAAATTAACTTTCTGAAAGCAACAGTGAGATATGACATCATCAGCACATGGGATGTAAGAGAAAGTGCAACCTTCTTTTAAGAGGGCTGCTGTGGAGGTGGCATCTTCAGGGAATAGTCCAGATTTTACTTAACATGAGAAGTCAAAATAAGGGTTGTGTGCTTGTTTGCTCTTGTTTCTTCTTTTGTCTTAAGATACTCTGAGGTGGTGGCAGCACCAAAGAGCTCCTGGCCACCAAAGGCCACCTTTGAAAGGGCATTTGCACATCTTCTAAAGGGGCATTCCTTTACATAAGCCACCTTGTCCCCCTTACCCTGAATCTCCAAATTACTAAAACCTTGATAGCTGTGTTGTGGCCCTACTGAGCCCCTCAGGTTCATCCCCAACCAAATCTTGAGATTCCGTTTTGTTTCTCTTCCTTAAAGCTTAAGTCAAGGATATAGTATGCAATATACAGTGGGGCCTTGACTTACGAGTTTAATTCGTTCCAAGACTGAGCTCGTTAAGGAGCTCGTTAACTCAAATTACTCTATCAACTCAATGCAAAAAATCGGTGGAGAGACAGCTGGGAGCAGTTCTGTCTCTTTACTTGCTGTATGGAATTTTCAAACCCAAGGACGAATTTTGTGTGTGCTTTCAATAAAATCTTGGGGGAATAAAAGATTCTATGCTTGTAATTCTGCAAAATAAAAAGAGGTAGATAACAAGGCATTCAAGCATGTCCTTCTAAAACGTATACTTTTCTAATAATTTTATTTACAAATCGTAATTGTTCCATTCATTCTAGAAACATTTATTGAAAGTCAGGAACTATGCTAGTGAACAAGATACACATATCCAAGGAACTAAAAAAATAATCAAGTTGTTGGAGAGGTTTTCCACATGGCCCCATGGACAATGATCAGATTTGGATTTGGTGTGAAAGCCAAAGTCTTTCATAACTTGTGGGGGCAGGGAGAATTGAAGTAGTCCATGATGAATGGCATGAGCCTCAAAAATGTCTAGGGTTATTACAGGAGAAAGAAAATTAACTTTCTGAAAGCAACAGTGAGCTATGACATCATCAGCACATGGGATGTAAGAGAAAGTGCAACCTTCTTTTAAGAGGGCTGCTGTGGAGGTGGCATCTTCAGGGAATAGTCCAGATTTTACTTAACATGAGAAGTCAAAATAAGGGTTGTGTATTTGTTTGCTCTTGTTTCTTCTTTTGTCTTAAGATACTATGAGGTGGTGGCAGCACCAAAGAGCTCCTGGCCACCAAAGGCCACCTTTGAAAGGGCATTTGCACATCTTCTAAAGGGGCATTCCTTTACATAAGCCACCTTGTCCCCCTTACCCTGAATCTCCAAATTACTAAAACCTTGATAGCTGTGTTGTGGCCCTTCTGAGCCCCTCAGGTTCATCCCCAACCAAATCTTGAGATTCCGTTTTGTTTCTCTTCCTTAAAGCTTAAGTCAAGGATATAGTATGCAATATACAGTGGGGCCTTGACTTACGAGTTTAACTCATTCCAAGACTGAGCTCGTTAAGGAGCTCATTAACTCAAATTACTCTATCAACTCAATGCAAAAAATCGGCGGAGAGACAGCTGGTATCTCAAAGAACTCATTAGTCGGGACACTCGTAAGTCAAGGCCCCACTGTAATTCTATTTTCTGACAACCAACCTTCCATAATTCCCTCGATTTATGACCATCTGCTTCTTTTACAGCCGTCTGTCGATTCCCATGTCAGAATGGGGGTATCTGCCAACGCCCAAATGCTTGCTCCTGTCCAGACGGCTGGATGGGGCGCCTCTGTGAAGAACGTGAGTCTTTCTTCAAACCTTACTTGGAGTTCTGGTAATTTTCCTGGAAGCTGACAACTCAGAGTTACTGTGAACTGGCTCTGCTGGCGGCAGGGATTTATTTGCTTATCCTGCAGCAGGCCAGACAGGGCAGCTAGAGCTGATCGGAATATGTCAGTCACTTTCAGGAGATCTAGAATATTAGACCATGAAAATATAGTTATCAACATCCGTCATCTCCACATTCTCCTGGCACAAATTTCTAAGGATCATCTGGAAAGGAGCTAATCATCAGGGGTTTCCCAGACTTTGTCTTCCTTCATCTCTAGTCTTTTTATATATTCTGCCACTCGTAGCTGCAGCTGTAAATTCATGGCATTGCCTAACATTGTACTTTGCAGCTCACCATTCACTCTTTTTCATTAAGGGCAGTTCTTCCCAGTTAAGGAAATTTGGCATTCCCATATCTACACAAAGGTTGGTAAATTAATATAGAATATTTATTCTCATAGTAATACATTTTAATTTGAACGTCCAGGAGACCGTGAATAAGTGGTTTTAAACATTTTTTAATGTCTAATCCACATTTTGTTTTCCTATCTTAAAAAATACATGTTAGGAAAAAATGATTTCATTTTTCGTTGGGAGTGGTATATGTAAATAACATTTAAAATCATTAATGAGATGGTCATTGGACTACATCAGGTTTTTCTAAGACCAGACATTTTATGAGATTCTAAAACTTCTTTAAGTGTAACTATTTGAACTAATCTAGAAAGGAAAATATAAGATGGAAATAAATTCAGGTCATTAACAACTCACCATAGCAAGTATTCTCACAGTGATGAAGAAAGGAGAGAAATTACATTTTCCTTCCTCTTCTCCCCAGTCATTCCTTCCCACTTAAGGCTTCTATACTTGACCTGCTGTAATGGCAGGAGTCCAAAGACTCAGGGAACATTTGCCCTGGGTGCCCTAACAACAGGCCTTGCTTATCTCATTGAGCATGCACCTGCCCTCCTGGCTTAGAGCAGGACTTCCCAAGCTTTAATGTGCACACAGATCACCTGGGAGATGTTGTTAAATGCAAATTCTGATTCAGTAGATGAGTTGGGACCTGAGATTCTGCATTTCCAGCCAATTCCTAGGTAATGCCAATACTTTTGGTTTGAGAACCACGCTTGGAATAGCAAACTAATAGACAATCTCACTCCTTTTAAACAGACTACACCTCTTCGAAGAGCTCAATAGGAGGAATGTTTACTGGGGAGGGTGTAGGAGAGGCCTGATTCAATCATCATCAGGCCTCGGCTCCAAGGAAATAAAGAGCAAGTTTTCCCATCACTGCCAATGTGTTGCCAACAGCCTGTAGGATAGCCTGTCTGACTCCCATTTTCACATTTAATTCAAGACAAGAAGAGTGCCTCGTGGCAGCCAAACCCTCTTAGAGCATTTTATGTAATTTGTACTGGAAATTTGAAACTGCAATAAATGGGGAACATTCTGCTGATTCTGTGAAGGGAAAGCGAAGCACTTAGCAGGTATTGATTACAGTGGGTCTTCTCCAAAGGAGCGCATTTGGCATCAGTCATGACTGCAGGCTAAGGGGCCAGAGTTACTTTCCTAATTGTGTTTCCCCAGTGATACTGATTAATAAACACAACACATACGGGAAGTTCTCTCGTGGGTCATACAAGGTTTTACTCCTCCTGGATCATGTTTTTTGAACACATGAACATATCTTAGTGTGTGTATTTTCATCAAATCATTTTCGATCTCCTCTCTAGCAATATGCATTCTTCCCTGTCTGAATGGCGGTCGCTGTGTGGCCCCTTATCAGTGCGACTGCCCACCTGGCTGGACGGGGTCCCGCTGTCATACAGGTAGGCGTCCTATCATGGTTTGTTGTCTTGGTGACTTATCTCCTTGAAGTCCTAGAGGACATTGATGAGTAGGACTCAGATTCCGAGGTGGCAGTGAAAGAAAGGGTATCAGGGTTTCTCAAGAATTCCTCAAATGGCCCCTCGAATGGTGAATCCGAATGCCTCAGAGTTACCTTTCAGAGTCATGTGCCAGAGAAGAGCAGCTAAGTTGACTGAGTTGTCAGGCATCTTAGTGTCAGAGGTTCAGAAAAATATTTATTTTGAGTGCCAAGTTCAAAATGCTGGAGCATGTCTAGTGAGCAGCAGAAGCCACTGAAGGGTTTTAAGTGGGAAAATCACAATCAGATTTTCTTTTAGAAAAATGATTTTGGCAGCAGTATGGATAATGGCAGAAAGCATGACTTACTAGGAGACCAGTTAGGAAGTTATCAAAGCAGAATTGGCAAGCGGCAATAAAGTCTGGAGAAATGACAGCCCAAATAGATTTGAGAGAAGTATGGGAGGTGAATCTACACTACTCAGTTATAGGTTTCATTGTGGGAGTAAAGGTCTGAGCAGAGTCAACACTGATATTTCCAGTTTGGGTCCCTGATGGTGCCATTTACTGAGACAGAGACCCCAAGAGGAGCAGGTTTGAGGTTTAGATAAGGAGTTAAGTATTGACTCACTTTGAGGGGCCTGTGGAACATACAAGGGAGAGGTCTGATAGGCAGGTGGCTGATTGCTCCCAGAAGATACATCTATACTGAAGATAGAAATTTGTGGGTTATCATTGGAAAAAAATTCATGGGGAAAAAGAATAAGACTATGCAGAAGACACATGGCATGAGAAGGTGGCTCAGACGGGACCAATGGGAGCTCCCATGTTAAAGGGAAGGAGGAAGATGTTAAGCTTTTAGACAAGGAAGAGAAAGTAAGTGCTTAGTACAGTCAGGCACCATTAAATCATCATGCTCCTGAAAAGGAGTAATACTTTTTATATTGGTACACAGAATCTATGGAGAGTTGGTTTTAAATTATTGGGCTTCATTTTTACTATTTTTAAGCCTGCTTTGTTTCATACTTTCCTTTTACTGTATTGCACATATGTGCATTCTGTTGGCTTACTCTTACTCTTCACTCACCAAGACGGCTCCCCAAGGACAAAGACTAATGTTTTATTTCTTGTCCTCTCTCTTCCACCCAAGTGCCTGGTACTGGCTGGCATTCTACATGCCCCCCCCCCCATATTGTATGCATGAATGATTAAAGAAGTACATCTATTTATATCTCACCAAAGATGAACTGTTCATCTGGGGAAGCTTACCTTTCCAAGCTATAATGAGGCTGAAATTGAAACTGAAATGTTTCTCATTTCTCTCAACAGGCATTTCATTTCCTCCCTGTAGGATGTTCTCCTTTCTCTTTGATATGTTAAACTTGCTGGTGTTGGGTCTTTATCAGTTTTTAGCATCCTAGGGTTCTTTACCAAATAGACTCATGCAAGTGAAGAGTTTGGTGATGAGACTATGAATTTATAAGGAAGATGTCTCTATAGTAAACCTTTGAGTGTTCATTCAGGGTTTCATCTGTGGCTAATTTTTAACTCTACTCCAGGTTCCATCATTCTAATTAAGGCCAGTAAAAGTCATGAAATATGTTTCCTAGCCAACACACGGGCTTTTGAGTCATCTGTTATTTTAGACAAGCTCTTGCCTGATTTATTGTCATGAGTTGATATCTGATGTAATGACTGAATCATAGAGTTCAGTGCTAGCTCCCTCAAGGGATTTACAGTCTAATTGAGCATATGAAAAGTTCACAGTTCAAAACAGTATGTGCCAAATTAGTTACATAAATAAAAATATTAAAGAAGAGAAAAAAACAGTGGACTTGAAGTTATCAGCAAAGATTTCAATACATAGGTAGAACTTAACCTGGAACTTAAATATGAAAATGACTAGCTTGGAAGGAAAAAAGGAGGTGGAGCCACAGAAGGACATGAGGTCAAGCAAAGGGGCAGAAATGCCTAATGCAAACAGTCTATGAGGAGTGTTGGTGGCTGGAGAAGAAAACAGAGTCAAATCTTACTTACATGCTTTCATGGACATCTTCAGGATTGCTAAGTGCTGATTAAATAAATGCATGCATTTTTTATCCCAGCTGTTTGCCAGTCTCCCTGCTTAAATGGTGGAAAATGCGTAAGACCAAACCGATGCCATTGTCTCTCAGCTTGGACTGGACATGACTGTTCCAGGTAAGACAACCAAAGACTAATGCTTATCAATAACATAAAGAGATCGAAATTCAGGTTAAGTTGTTCAAGAACCAGAAGGTATCTCTAGTGTGAGGGTGAGCATTTTATATCCAAAAATGTCCATTGTGAGATACACTCTCTAAATTTGAACTAAAGGCAACGCAAAGAAATATTAGTTAAGGATTGACAAATCAAACAATGATGCCTCAAAAGTAAATAATCTTGTACTCATTTTGGCCGCACATATACCAAAATTGGAATAATACAGGGCAGATTAGCTTGACCCCTACACAAGGATGACTCAAATTCGTGAAGCATTGCATATTTTTCCATAAAAAAAAGGGTTAAACAAGTCAACTGCCTTCTTGAATAGAAGATTGTATTTTTTTACACTCAGGGGTGTAAAGTAAATAATAAACTCAATACATTTATTGACCTTCATTTGCATTCCTGGTTACAACAAAAATAAATGTAATTGGCTACAAAAATGTTATGTAAATATATGTTCTGTCAATTGGTTTCTAATATCGAATTAGATAAATATAATTGAGAAAAGATCATCATAAAAATAAGTCAAAGGAGAAATAGTTTAAAAAATAATTTAAGGTTTCTAAAAAAAATTGTTGATTGGCATACATACAACATTACATTATTTCAAGTGTACAACATAATGATTTGATATCTGTATATATATTGTGAAATGATCCCCATAATAAATCTAGTTAACATCTATCACCATGCATAGTTACAAAATGTTTTTTTTTGTTTGATGAGAACTGTTCAGATAAAAAGATTTATTGTCTTAACTTGCAAATATGCAGCACAATATTATTAACTATAGTCGCAATGCTGTACATTACATCCCCATGACTTATTTATTTTACAACAGGATGTTTGTTCCTTTTGATTTCTTATTCCATTCACCAACCTTCCACTCCTTCATTCCACCTCTTGCAGCCACTAATCTGTTTTTTGTATATGAGTTTGGTTTTGATTTTTTGGTTTGTTTTAGATTCCACACTTAAGTGAGGTGATACAGTATTTGTTTTTCTCTGACTTATTTCAGATAGCATAATGCCCTCAGGATCCATCATTGTTGTTGAAAATGGCAATATTTTCTTCTCTTTCATGGCTGAATAATATTCCAGAAGTGGAATTACTAGATTTTATGGTAGTTCTATTTTTATTTTTTTGAGGACTCTCTCTACTGTTTTTCATAGTAGCTACACCAATTTATATTCCCACCAACAATGCACAAGGTTCCCTTTTCTCCACTTGTTATTTTTTGTCTTTTTTATAATAGCCATTCTAACATGTGTGAGGTGATACCTTATTGTGGTTTTAATTTGCATTTCTCTAATGATTAGTAATTTGAGCATCTTTTCATGTGTATTGGCCATCTGTATGTCCTCTTTGGGAAAAATGTCTATTCAGATCCTCTGCCCATTTTTTAATTGGATTGTTTGATTTTTGTTTGTTGAGTTGTATGAGTTCTTTATATATTTTGGAAATTAACTCTTTATCAGATACATGATTTGCAAACATTTTCTCCCACTCAGTAGGTGGCCTTTTCTTTTTTTTTATAGTTTCCTTTGCTGTGCATAAACTTTTTAGTTTGATGTAGTACCACTTGTTGATTTGTCTTGGGTTGCCTTTGCTTTTGGTATCAAATCCAAAAAAATCATTGCCAAGATCAATGTCAAGGAGCTTACTGCCCATATTTTCTTTAATTCATTTTGAGTTAATTTTTGTATGGTATAACATAGTTTCATTCCTTTACACATGCCATCCAGTTTTCCCAATAGCATTTATTGAGGAGACTATCCTTTCCCCATCATAGATTCTGGCTCCTTTGTCATAAGTTAATTGACTATGTGTGCCTGGGTTTATTTCTGGGTTCTCTCTTCTGTGCATTGATCTATGTATCTGCTTCTATGGCAATGCTATACTGTTTTGATTACTATAGCTTTGTAATATTATTTGAAATCAGAAACATAATGCTTCCAGCGTTGTTCTTCTTTCTTGACTGTTTTAAACCTCAGGAAATATCAACTAAATTGTCATCATACCATGGATAAATATTTTCAATATAAAAATGTTGCAATGTTGGAGTAGTACCAGCTCTATTTTATGACTTTCAAAATGCACTATTGCATTACATCATTTAGATTTGTATAATGTACAGTTACTTCAGTCTTATAGGAGTCATTGAAAACAAAGAGCATATTCATTTTTAAAAATGGGAAATTTAGTTAATTGAAAACAACTCTTCTTTTTCATTTCCTTTTATTTTATTTTGATTGGAATGTCAAAGTCAACTTTCAAGGACAATAATCTATTTAAATAAAAACTTAATTAACAAAAAAAATCCATCTTGTGCCAATGAATGTCCTCATATTATCTCAAGCATATGCCATCTCTGCAGAGAGGAAAAAATAAACTGAACCCTAAAGAGCAAGCTTTGATTGTACAAGTCTATATAGAAGCTTCCAAGATAAAGATGATACTTTCATCTGAGAGTAGAGTTGAATGATACAAAAAAATGAAATCAAACTGAAATCGATTTCTGGGGAAAGTAAGAGGAGAGAGAAAGTAAAAGGAATAAGAATTACAGTGACTCAAAAAGGAACAGGAACTATTTATAACATTCTTATAATTTTAGACTTTCTATTTCAATTCCTTCAAATAAGAAAAGGAAGCCTGCGTTTATGTGGTTTCCTAACATCAAAATACTCCCAAAGGAGTCTTTTTTGACAAGGGGAAGGGCGGTTTTTAGCCTATGTGAAAATACTATCTAATAAAAAGAACAAAATTACATTTTTGTGCAAACGTTTGATAAAGGAATCAAAAAATATATGGCAAATTAAGCTGGGAAGTGTATCCCACATTCAAGGACTGGGCAGTCTCTCCCCCCCTCCCCCCCATTATACTGTGAGCCATTTTTCTAGAAGATCCATATTAGGACTCTCTAATTGCAACTCTAACTAGCTTAAGCAAAGAAAGGAATTTGTTATCACAATTGAGGGGCCTTGCGTGGAACCCGATTACATGGATGGCTGAACCTCAGGAGGATCCGACTGAGGACTTGAAAGCCACCTGAAGCTTCTCCACCTCCTGCCTTGCCTTCTCTCTCCAGCATCTACTCCCTCCCTCCTCTTGCTGCAGAGTGGTTTTCTCTGCTGTTCAGTTCCCATGAAAGGACAGAACTGCTTGCAGCCCCTGCATTTACACATCATACTACTGTATCCACTGAAACAGTGTGCTGACCCAGTTTAAAAATCCAGAACTGCCTAGTCCAGGTGGATTCAGGGGCCAACCATGAATCAGTCAACTGTGGTCCTAGGTCGAGCCATGCTTTTGTTCCGGCCCTCTGGTCCAGTTTAAGAACCCATTGTGGCCCTCGAGTCAAAAAGTTTGCCCACCCCTGGGCTATGTCGTACTAACATGAAGAGTCTTCTTGTCAAAACTTTTACCTTACCTTTGGGTAAAGGGGAGAGGAGGCTGGCAGTTCCCAGAGGAAAGAAGGTGGAATATAAGTCCCTGAAATGGGAAGGGGAGGAAGCTTTTCTGAGAAATTATAACAATAAATGTTTACAAATCGTTTTTTATTTTCTTCTCTCCCATGAGATTGAGTAGGCAAAAGATTGTATCCCTCGTGCTTAGCACAGGCACAAAAATTAATGCTCAACAAATGTTTGTTGACAGATGGAGCGATTTCTGGGCATCTGTGACAGCCAGCGAAGAAATGCCCTGTAGCATTAATTAAATACCTCAACCAGTTACCTTCTCTACCAATGGATAAGACTCACCTGGTATGGTTCCCAGGTAGTTCAATCCTTAAAAAGGAGATTGTGTTTCCCCAATCTCTGTGTGCTTCTTCATAAAATTGATCCTAAACAAATACCACAAATAAAAATTATAGACTGTGAAAGCTATAAGAGACCTTTCACGAAGTCCAAACCCCTCAGTTTACAGATGAGAGGGTTATCAGACAGGAAACTAGAGACAAAGCCAAGGCTAAAATCCGGGTCTGCTGATTCTCGGATTTTTTCATGAGTTAGCACATGATCTTCATGCCCTTTAGTTGTCTCAAGGAATGACTCCCATCCGTACAAACAACGCCATGGATAATGCCCAGGTATCTGAGACTTTCAATCCTGTTCAAATTGACCCCAAAGGGTCTATTACCTCTTCAGTTCAGTCTTTTCTGTTGAATCTCTCTGTTTTTTTGTTCCAGGAAAAGGAGGACTGGGTTTTAACCACTGCACAACCAAGGAGCTCTCCCTAAGAACAGGGTCATCTCTTCCTGGTAGCCCTGGGCATCCCAGAACTTACGCAAAGAAATTCCAACACGGTGCTGGGTCTCGTTTTGTGTAGTACACATGTTATTTGGGGTTTACCTTTTTATTTTGTGTTATATTTTGTTCCTTCTTGTGACGTACTTTCTTACATGTTTCCATTTTTAAATATGCCTGTATTTTCTATATAAAAATATATTAAATAGATGCTGCTCCACTCACAAAATGTACATACTCTGCTGTCTATTGGGAAAGTACCTGGTACACATTTTTATTCAGTTACTGAAAATGATGTTTCAATTAAAATATATTTTGCTACTAAATAATATTTTGCTGGATAGTGCCATTTTGTGAGGTGGCCACAAAACAATGACAAGGATTAGTGATTTGCATCTATGCTACTGGATCACATGTAGTATACCAAGAGATTACAGTAAAGGAGTCACCTTCATTCTATTTCCATCTTCTTTGCAATATGTGTAACCATGAAGGTTTCCTTTTATTTAATCAGAGAATAGCTATTGGATCTACTACCCTTCACGTGAAATGCTTTCGTGGCGCTGAGAACAGCCTGGCTGATTCCTTTCCCAACATTTGGAAAGCCATAGGAATCAATTTAGTAGATGCGGCGGGGAGCGGGGGGGGCGGGGGACATCATGACCATGGCACACAAAATAAAGTGCTCCCTTTCCTTCTCACATCTGGCATAAAAAATGCGAGAACTGGAAGAGTAACAGAGAGCCCTTTCTGGATCACAATCCCACAGTTGCTTTGGAAGAAAGGCAATAGCAATAGGAGGACAGGAAAGGGGAGGGAAAAGGCAAACAGGACAAGTTCACCTGAGCTCTGCTCCTGGTCCCACCTGCAACAATGAACTGAGGCTACCCAGGCAGAGCTGAGCTTCCCCTCAGCCCCCACTGTGCCACCCAACTCCATCCCTGTACTTCTACCAGCATAAAGATTTCCCCATGCTTCTGGAAAATACAGCCAAATACTAGATTTTGTTTAAAATAGGAAAATCACAATTTTGTTTAAAATAGGACAACTCGTCTCCAACCTCTGGGAGAATGACTTCCACATAGGCACAGGGTGCATTGTAACGCTGTGAAGACATGAATGATGCAAAAGATCTTTATTGTCCTCTTGGTTCTCTCCATTGCCCTGAACTTCCCACAGCTATTGACTCCTTCTCCTGACATCACTCTCTTGGCCAGTCTTATATGCTTATGAGTATATATTTTATTTATTTACTAGTGTCCCAGTGCACAGATTCATGCACATTAAAAGGAAATTTATTAGAAGAACTATTTTAATATCGCTATTCACCCTTTCTCTATAATAGAAGTGTCAACCAAATTCATGATCGACAATGACAGATGGAAACACAGGCGTGCGATTGGCACCAGCAAGAGCTTTATATGTATCACACATGCACAAGTCAACTTAGCCTTTTATAGATATAGAATAAACTTGCTTAATTAAACCTGCTTTCTGATTTAGCTAAACTTTTTCCAGCCCAGTGAACATGACATCATTACCCTACACCCACAGCCACCGTTTCCAGGCTGGGCTGGGTTGTGGGCTGTATTTTGCGCCATGGCAGCGTTGGCTGCAATTTGGTGGGATATCTCTCTGTGGTGTGGTGGGGCCTGTGTCCCACTTGGGGAAAGCCAAGTGTTGCTTTGTTGGCACCAGGTCCGTGCTGCCATTTCTCTATAAATGGCCAGTGTGCATTATGGCAGCTCCTGCATTGAGTGTCTGCCCCTTGGTGGTCAGTGCACATCATAGCAACCAGTTGGATGGGTGGAGGGACACTTAGTATATTAGCCTTTTATATATGTAGACTAGAGGCCCGGTGCACAAAAATTTGTGTACTCGGGGGGG